AAACCCTAAACCCGAAACCCTAACCCGATTTCGACGTGATACCTTTACAGGGCATGAATTTCACGAAATCTTTCTGTGGCTATCCGATGCTTTGTCGGCACAGGGCAGGAAGATTACTCTAAACTGATAAGATAAGAGTCTCCGGGTTTAGGATTTAGGGTTTAGGGTCTAAACCCTAAACCCTAAACCCCTAAACCCGGAGACTCTTATCTTATCAAGTGGCCTGGATTGTAGGGGGTCTGTATGCCAGGCTTACTATTGCATGAGGGAACTACCCCAGAGATACAAAACCTCTTTTAGCCTACGCCGGAGACCCTAAACCCCAAACCCTATGCTGCTATGGTCCTTTATTTCAAGCTTGCGTCCTTGCTCTTGAACCCCCAGAGCCTCCCACTGCATAAAGTCTTCTTAGTATTCTAGCCCCTATCTAGCTCGACTTTAGTATACCCCGAAACCGTACTGTCATTGCTACGGCCAGGATCCTACATTAAAGCCTAAACTGGGCTGGGCTGGGCTGGGCGCTGGGCTGGGCTGGGTTGGGGCGACATCCCGAACGTCCTGAGCGCCCTAAACAAACCCGCTAAACCCGAAGCTTTACACCAAGATAGTGTCTACGTAAAGGTCTCTATCAACCCCAAACAATGGACCTGGACCCTAAACCCTAAACCCTAAACCCTAAACCCTAAACCCTAAACCCTAAACCCTAACCCCTAAACCCTAAACCCTGAACCGTGGACCCTGAGCATCCAAAAGCCCTAACCCAAAGCCCGAAGATCTGAGTTCTAAGCTCTAAGCCCGAAGCCCTAAAAACCCTAAAAACCCTAAACCCTAAATTTTCGGGTTTAGGATTTAGGGTTTAGGGCCTAAAAACCCTAAACCCTAAACTTTAGGGTTTAGGATTTAGGGTTTAGGGCCTATAAAACCCTAAACCCTAAACTTTAGGGTTTAGGATTTAGGGTTTAGGGTTTAGGGTTTAGGGTTTAGGGTTACCCCGAAGCTCTAAACGTCTCGCAGCTTTAAGCTCTAAGAGAGGCCCGGCCTGGTCTTTAACATCTTCGGGGGCGTTCAGGCCATTGCTGGAGCCTCAGGGGTGCGAGGCCGTAAGATTCCTTAAGAGTTTTTCGGGGGTTTAGGGTTTAGGGTTTAGGGTTTAAGGGTTTAAGGGTTTAAGGGTTTAGAGTTTAGGGTTTAGGGTTTAGGGTTGGGGTTTAGGGTTTAGGGTTTAGGGTTTAGGGTTTAGGGTTGAATCAGGTAACTATAAGTAACCCTAAACCCTAAACCCTAAACCCTAAACCCTAAACCCTAAACCCTAAACCCTAAACCCTAAACCCTAAACCCTACTTAAAACATGCTTTTTGGGCCCAAGATGCTTATAGCCTTACGAGGTCCCAGGAACCTCCAAGTAGGGTTCCTTAAAGGGTTCCTCTAAGGGATCTATACAATTTTCGGCTTTTCGGGTGGGTTTTTAGAACTTAGCGCTTAGGGCTTCTTGAGGGCTTTATGGTTTGAGGGCTTTAGGGTTTTGGGTTTTCTGTTTTTGGGGTTTTAGATTTTTGGGGCTTGGAGCTTGGGGAGGAGGTTTCGAGGCCTCCTTGAAGGGATTTCGGGAGTTTGTAAGGCTTTCAACTGGGTTTAGGGTTTACGGTCTATGTTGGTCTTCGCGTTCATAATCCGAGACGTCAGATCCCAAATCGTCCAAGGCCATCATGGTGTACTTCCTCATCAACTATGACAGCACTCCCGAAGGAGGTGCCAAGAGACTTCAGGGATCTCAGGTTTAGGGCATAGAGGTTTTTGGGGGTTCGGATTTTAATTTGGGTGCCCCGAAACCCTAAACCCTAAAATAGGAATTTAGAGGTTTTTTGGGGGTCTAGGGTCGAAGGAGTTGTAGGCAAGTTCGGGATGCTTTGTCTTGGTCTAAGGTTGAGGGTTTAGGGTCTAGGGTTTAGGGTTTAGGGTTTAGGAATTGGGGTTTAGGGTTTGGGGTTAAGGGTTTAGCGTCTTTTGAAGCTCTCCGTTGCCGTCTACTGTGCCAGTGCTGATCCCTAAACCCTAAACC